CGATGAAGTAGTTGATGCAGTATTAGCAGTCTCGGTTTCGATCTCGTCATTGGTGTTTGAACAAACAGAAGTCACAGTGCTATAAGTCGAAGCTACATCAGGCGAAGCATAAGTCGATAGTGGAAAGTACTTGCCTGATAATTCCGGTTGGAAGACCCCCTCCCCTACCCTAACAGGCCCGGGACGACTCGGTTGGCAGGATGCAGGAATGGGCACGACTGTTTCAGGTGGCTTGGGGGCTTCCATTAGGCTATCGACGTTGCATCCCGGGATCAGCCAGTAGGAGACGGGTTGACGGGCTTTCGAAATTTTTGGGAACCGTTGAACTCTCGAAACATGATACCTTCCGGCCACGTTGAAGGGTCCAGCGCTTGGGATTTCAATCCAGGGTCCAAACCAATTTTGAAGGAAATAAACGTTAGGTTCGATACGTCTTTTCCTTTGGGCACTAGTTTGACTATGTCAGGATTTTCACTGAGATTCAGGTTTGCCTTCACCATCACCAGAACTGACTCGTTTGCCACGTCAGGCCTGATTCGTGACAGGTAAAGCCAGAATTTCTTCGGCTCCGAGTACGTTGGGACGCATACGACATCCTGGCACGATGCTTTGGATCCAGACAAACAGTTGTCAACGATGCGAGGCTTCTCAACTTGCGGAATCGGCCTAGGCGCAGGCGGCGAAGCGGTACTGGTAGAATTAGACGCCAACTGCTTGATTTCGGTGCGCAACTCACTGATGGCCTGAGTGAGAGACACGAGCGGAGCAGTATCGATGGGTTTGATTGCAATAGATCGAAGGTGAGAATTTTCGAATAATTCCACGCATTTGTCGCACATCCAATAAAGGTTGCTTCGGTGTGTGGTGAAGTATCCCAATAGCGCACGAGACACTCCGGCGCAGCCCATGTGGAACGATCCACCGCAAAATCCGCGACAAGCAACCTGCTCAATGCCAACGATGGCAGAGTCACATTTCGAGCAGTTTTTCTCCATCTCGATGTTGATCACGTCTGAATGCGCCTAATGATGTACTCTTCGCTGTCCTTCGATGAAAGATAATTCGAACGCTGGTTGCAGGAGAACAGGCGCCACAACCAATGTCGACTAAGGCGGCAAAATCAGTGACGTGGGTGGTCGATGAGTTACGTCAATAAATTTTGGATCACAACAGCGTGAAACAAAACCACACGAATTCACACGGGACAACTAGTGTTTGCACTGAACTTCACGTTGCTCTTGATGTTTATGGAGAACTCAAGCCAGCAAACGTTAACACAAGAAAAAAGTCACAAAATATACACGAGAAAAGAAATAAAATTGAAACAGCTAGTAAACAAACTTAACCGTAACTCAAGTGCGAGTGAGTGACTGAGCAATACTCTCGGTTATTATCTGAATCTCAGAATGGTTTTTACGGAGACCCAGCAATATAATTGCCATTCAGAATCAGAAATCGGCATTCAATAGGTTGTAGTTGCAAACAAGTCGAATTGGGTAGCTCTCGGCGAAAATCTAGGTTTCTAATTTTTTTCCGTTTTCAGCTAGTACAACAAATGAGACCAAAACAATTAAAAATATTTGTGTTTTTATCACAGCCTTTTACACGGATACTAAAGCTTCTACTTTTCATGGTAACAACTTTAAAAAATATTGTTCAATATGTACACCTGTTTTGTCACACTGTACAAATTTTATAAGAAAACTAAATTCTAAGATCATAAAAATACCTAAAAGAATAGCTATTAATTTTTCATGAATTTAACTTTTTAAGGACCACATTATTCAACCTTTTTCATTTCAAAATATTTTTATGGATTTGGAAAGAAACATTTGCTTACACAACATAAAGATTTGTGATATCATGTGCACTCTGATTTTAAAAGTTGTTTTGCCGTGACTAACATTAGTATGTTTCTGATAGGTGGGTGAACATGAAACCTAATTATGAATAATAAAGTTTTATAATTTTGGTAATATTCTGTTTGATGATTGTTCTGCAGGTTATTACACTATTAAATATCCAAACAGTCCAACATGCTTTTTTTCTGCAAGAAATCCCTCAACTATTGATTTGGTCTTAACTGATTCATGTCAACTTTGTAGCCAATTGGTTACCCATGCTGACTTCGGTTCTGATCACCTTCCAGTAACTTTTGAAATATCCCAAGAAATAACTTGTAGTCCCAACAGCCCTATTTTCAATTACCATAGAGCTGATTGGGAGCAATATCGAACATTTATGGAATATAACTTCGATCCAAACATTCCTTTGCATACCAAAGATGAAATTAATTATGCTCTTGAATCTCTGACTACTTCTATAGTTGAAGCAAGAGCTGCCTCAGTACCAAAATGCGAGGTTAAATTCGATTCAATTATAATAGACGACGATCTTCAGCTCTTGATCCGTCTTAAAAATGTCCGTAGGAGACAATATCAAAGAACACGCGATCCTGCCATGAAAGTTATCTGGCGGGATTTGCAAAAACAAATTAAAAAGCGATTCTCTGCCCTGAGGAACAAAACTTTTGAAAATAATGTTTCTAAATTAGACCCGAGTTCCAAACCCTTTTGGAAACTCACAAAAATTTTGAAAAAACCTCAAAAGCCTATTCAAGCACTTAAAGAAGGTTGTAAAATTTTGTTCACAAATTTGGAAAAAGCTCAGAAACTTGCTAAGCAATTCGAGAGTTCCCATAATTTCAGTTTGGGTCTTACTAGTCCTATTGAGATTCAGGTTGCTCGGGATTTTCTGAATATTTTCTCTCGGGAAAATATTTTTGATGATTCCTGGGGGACTGATTTGGACGAAGTAAGGTCTATAACTAAAAAGTTTCAAAATATGAAAGCTCCAGGTGATGATGGAATTTTCTATATCCTCACCAAAAAACTCTCAGAGAGTACCTTGTCTTTCTTGGTAAAATTATTTAACAGATGTTTCCATTTGGCATACTTTCCTGATAAATGGAAAAATGCAAAAGTTGTTCCAATTTTGAAGCCGGATAAAAATCCAGCTGAAGCTTCTAGCTACCGTCCAATAAGTTTGCTTTCTTCAACAAGTAAACTTTTTGAAAAGATAATTTTAAACAGAATGATGCTTCACATCAATACGAACTCAATTTTTGCAGATGAGCAGTTTGGATTTCGCCATGGACATTCAACTACTCATCAACTCTTAAGAGTTACAAATTTAATTCGTTCAAACAAATCTGAAGGCCACTCAACTGGAGTTGCTCTTCTAGACATAGGAAAAGCATTCGACAGTGTTTGGCATGAAGGTTTGATTGCTAAATTGAAAAAGTTTAATTTTCCACTTTACATTCTGAAATTAGTTCAGAATTATTTAACTGACAGAACTCTGCAGGTAAATTACCAAAATTCCAAATCCAATCGACTACCTGTTAGAGCAGGAGTTCCTCAGGGTAGCATTCTTGGGCCTATATTGTATGACATTTTCACTTCGTACCTCCCTGATTTGCCTCAGGGTTGCCACAAATCTTTGTTCGCTGATGACACAGGCATTTCCGCTAAAGGAAGAAGTCTTCGTGTTATTTGCAGCAGACTTCAGAAAAGTTTAGATATTTTCTCTACTTATTTACAAAAATGGAAGATTTCTCCCAACGCTTCCAAAACTCAACTTATAATATTTCCACATAAGCCCAGGGCTTCCTTTTTGAAACCTAGTAGTAGTCACATAGTCACTATGAACGGAGTTCCAATTTCCTGGTCAAACCAAGTGAATTATCTTGGATTAATACTTGACCAAAAATTAACTTTTAAAGATCACATTGAGGGCATTCAAGCCAAATGTAACAAATATATAAAATGTTTGTATCCTCTTATAAACAGAAAATCCAAACTTTGACGAACGAATAAACTTCTAATATTTAAACAAGTTTTTCGACCGGCCATGCTTTACGCTGTGCCAATATGGTCTAGTTTTTGCACTACCAGGAAAAAAAGCACTTCAAAGGATTCAGAACAAAGTTCTGAAGATGATTTTGAAGTTGCCTCTCTGGTACAGTACTACTGAGGTACATAGAATTTCGAATGTTGAGACTTTAGAACAAATGTCCAACAAAATAATTAATAATTTCAGGCAAAAATTTAAGCAATCCTCAATTGCAACGATTAATTCCCTTTATACTTAGATAATATTTAGTTTTAGTTTTTAGTTTTAAGATATCAATTGTTATACTGACATGCAGGTTTAAAAGACCTGTTTAAAATACTGAATTGCCAAGGCAGGAACAATGTAAAAAGACTTAGTTATATATCATAACAATTAAGGCTGGTAAGTTACTGTAGTAACTGGAGCACCTAGGTTAAAATGAAATGTATTTTTTTTTTGAATTTGAAACAAATAAAGAGTTAAAAAAAAAGTTTTATAATTTCAAAATTTGAATCTTAATTTATTCAATAATCGCCAAATTTCAATTTTTTTTATAATTAATTGTTTATTTTGAAGTTTAACTTCTCAATAATTAATTTTGTTATTAATATATTATTGAATGGAGCTGCAAAAATAATCGCATAGTCCTACGTCAGCAATTATCATCAATGCCGTTAATATCATTTTAAGCTTTTTCGTTTCAACGTTTTTTTTTATTTATTTACGGTGCCCCCCACTTATAACGGCTTGAAGTTGACGATGACCGTAACTCAATAAACGATTTAGCTGTCAGGTTCAATTTGCTGCTATGGTGGTTTGCGCCAAATATTACTAAAGCTTTTTTTTCGCATGAAGTTTACCCATCTAATATATTTGCTGTATAAAAGTTGATTCAGTCTCTTTTTAGCTGATTAAGCATATTTTGGGTGAATAAGCTATTATTCAGCACTCATTGCTGTCGGTGAAAAATGTCGTCCACGGTAACGTTTATTGGCAATAGAGATCAGAACAGCACCCTTACGGTGAAGATAAAACTGCTATGATTATGATGAGCTTCTGGAGACCTAATCCTACAATTAGAATAGATATAAAGTAAATATATTAACCTTGCTGTAAGATCCTAACCGACGTCTTCGTTTGTTGTAATTGATTAGAAACTTCAACCGATTGCACTCATCGAAGCTGCACTTATCTGCCACCGAATACATCAAAATAAACGCTTCCGCCCATCGGATGTTTGCCTCCAGCGTCATGCAATCTGCTTCCTGTAAGTCAAATGAAAAGCAAAATATCAACCATAAAACGAAATCCTCAACCCTCCAAACCAGGTAAACAAACTCACATTCGGTTGTCCCGCAGCGTCCAAAATCTCAAACTGCACCACCTCGTTGTCCACTAGGGTGTGAAATGTGTACACCTTCTCCAGGTTTGGGTCGTACTCGCCGATGAAGCGTTTCGTGATGAATCTCACCACCATGGCTGCGTGGTAAAAACGAGACAAGAAAACAAAAAACCTTTAATCAAACAAACATCTTTACAAACATCTTTAATCACGATCGGAATCGCGTTTCCGAACTGCGTCTTTGAAGGTTGCGGAAAGAACGTAGGAAAGGAGTTCTTTTTTCCTTCTTCCCTTTGTTGATCGAAAAGCGATAAACGACAGTTAGAAATTTCCGCGACGCAAACGCTGTTCAATCGACGTCGTCGTTGTCGTTGACTGCTGAGTGTTGATAATAACAAACAATTGATCAATATCGCAAGTTGTGAAATGTCAGCCAGCGAACAAGCGTGAAAGTGCGCAGTATTTCTTTGTGCCACCAAGTGTACTCATTGTTGAATTAAATTGCTTGTTGAAAGCGGATGGAATTTATGCCAGCACGCTGTGAAGAGACGCACATTTCTAACAGAATACGGGGAATGGATGTTCTGTAAATCAGTAGCGGCATAATTCCATAATTGGAAATTTAAAAATCAAATAAACTAATTTTAGCAGAATTGGGAATAACGAAAATGCTACAAATGTCCCACATGACAAAATTTTCGTCACTATTTCCATCAATTTTTTCATGTCAATATTTTCAACAATATTCACAACCACCTTGACAAAAGTTGCCGAGGGTTAGGCCCCATCTGCTGGAAGGGGAAAACGAGGGGAAACATTGAAACATGAAACCAACCTAGAGTATTGACAATATTTTGGCTCGTGTGACGCTTGCTTTTAGCTAGCGGACAAACGGACAAAAATATGTGGGGTTATTCCGAGAGTCGAAGTGATTTTTGTCACTAGTGAAGTGAGAAAAGTCACGTCTAGGTGACGTGACTCTCCATTTGATTTACACAGAGAGTCACGTCACCACGACGTGACTTTTGTCACTTCGCTAGAGACAAAAGTCACTTCGACTCTCGGAATAACCCCCATGGTGAATACTCAGAAGCGTTGACAATCATATTGACGCAAACATTGACGACGAAAATATTAATGAACATATGAACGCGAAATCAAAAAAAAGTTTCAATATTTCCCCTTCAGTTTAACTACAGTAGCAGATTGGGCCTTGGTCTCGGCTACTTTTGTCAAGGTGGTTGTGATTTAAATCGGTATATTCCATCGGACACAACAATGTTAGTGAGGAGCGACCCTGTATTGATGACGCCCCGGAAATATTATTGAAAATATTGATGGAAATATTGACGGAACTTCTGTCGTTTGGAGTGCACCTTTAAATAAATTTCGAAAAATCGGCATACCGAGTGTTTTACCCGTAGTGTTCAGAATGTTTCCGAGCTCCGTAAAGCAAACAAAAAAATCAAAACTTCCATGCACCATTATCCTTTCCCTTTGCCTTCGCTCGAAAAGTGTTAGTAAAATTCCACTCCATTGTTTGCGGAATTATCGGTCTCCTGGGAAAACAAACTTCTCCCAGCCCCTACATTTACGGCGTGTGCTGTACTCCCATTACCCGCCCTTAAAACCGGAGAAAGTGGGTTACCGGTCGTCGTTTCAGGATGGCTATCGTGGAAAATTTGAGCCTCGTAATGCCCGGATCGGATCCAATGTATCTTCCCATTCTTCTTGTTCCCAGATCCTGTTGTGGCTGTATGTTTGCTCATCCACTGTTGGTGAAGGTACATCGTCGTAGCAGACGTACGATGATCATTAAAAGTTTTTTCTACGCTTCAGACTGTAGACTGTAGGACCACACTGATGACGACAGTACGGTGAGTGTAGGGGTGGTGTCATCGTAGTACTACAGCAGTACGTTACGAGGTCCGCTGATGCTGATGTTCATTCTATCCTGTCATTTTATCGCGACAGGAGGAAATAATTGCGCGAATAACCACGTCGTCGTCGTCGAGAGCGAGTCGATGGGCTGGAGTAGAGCTCAATAATGGTGTGCAGGAGGAGGTAGATTGGTGCCAATATTTTGCGTTTGTTATCACTTCCCAATGGTTGACTTTCCCCGGGGCTTATAGGTCGATTAAGTTCGGTTGATTTTCATCCCTTTTTTTACTGAACATGAAAGCACGTTGATTGACAGGTCTTTGCTTTTTAGATGATCAGATTGATGGTTTTTGCAGTTAGTGCTTTTGTTATTTGGTGCTTTTTCGGCTGGTGGGGATTCTCGGAAATCATCAATTGAAATTGTTTGGCTGGTCGTCGTTGTTTGTGTTGCAGTCCCATAAGAATAAATCGATTTTTTTTATGACATTCCTCAGAGCCGATAAGGAAATGGAACCGTTCGGAGAAAAATCAAAGAATGGAATTTCAATCGTATTTAAGGCACAGAGAGGAGCTGATGCGGATGGAGCAGGTGTTTTTTTATGGATTCTATGATACCTGATTTTTGGTAATAAATATGCTAGTTGCAGTCAGTATTCTTAGTACTAGAACTCCACCCGCAAACAACGGTACCCCTCTGTATCTCCTCGTAGTTTTATCACTGGTATTATTTAAACCTCTATCATCTTCTTCTTCTTTTTCGCATATCAAGCATATTGCTTAACGCATATTAGCTTATTGCGTGCTCTCAACTTAGTGTTCTAAATGCACTTCCACAGTTATTAATTGAGAGCTTTCGATGCCAATACCAATGCATGAATTTATATATAGTGTGGCAAGCACAATGATACTCAATGCCCAGGGAAGTCGAGAAAATTTCCAACCCGAAAGATTCCCTCGACCGGACCGGGAAATTGAAACCGCCGCCAACGACTTGATAATACCGTGCCTTTACTGACTAGGCTATGATGCCCCACCTTTAAACCTCCATCATTCTATTGCCATATAATCGAAAGTCAATAAAATTAGATATTTAACACACAAACAGATGTGTGAGGTACAGATGAAACGATCAAAACTCAGATTATTCCGCTTGTCAGATCATTCGCCGAATCTCATCATTTCCGTTTTGCAAATCGCTTCACATAAAAATACCATGTACACATGACTAATTCCGAGGAAGTCTCCCCTGGCAGGGAGGAAGGCGACTAAAACGATCTGGATCTGAGATTCCGCTTACTAGATGTTTATTTTTAGTTTCAACTGGTAGATTAGATTTCATGCACGCATCATCGATCGGTAGAGTTAGACTGTTGCTACCTTCTCTCCACATGCCGGCACATGCCACCACATGAAGCACTTGGAAGAAGAAAGAGAACATTCAACCTTCTATAACTACACGTGACATCAGATTCTAATATTTCGACTGGCAAGACCTTGACATTGTATTTGGAGTTTTCCGATGTTGAAATGTGGGTGTGCTATCCTCGACGAACGATGAACAAAAAGAAGCGTGGAACGTTTCGCCATAAAAACAATCAGAGATAAATAAACCCGTTCGGAATGAACGTACGAAATAGATTTGAAGATCCCTCTTCTCTCCTCAATGGCTCCATTACGTCCCCACTGGGACTTAACGCCGGCTCTCAACTTGATGTTATTTTAGCAATCCAACGGTTGTTAATTGAGAGCTTTCAAAGTCAGAACAATGTTTGCATTAGTAAACAGTAACCCCTCCATGTATGCGATGGGTGGTACTCTCCACCCACCGCTGTTTCTCGGCTGCCCTCCAAAAATTACGCTGATTTTTTGTATGTGGTTACCCAACAAACAATTGAGAGCTCTTATAAAACACCTGAGTTGATCAAACGTTGAATAATAGCTTCCAGAGTTGAACAAGAATGTATTTTTTTTTTTCCTTTATTTACAAGGCTTTCAGCCATTGGCTGGTTCGCCTTGGGAACTCCAGAAGGGAGTTCCAAAAGGTTTGTAAGAGCTGCTACAGTGTTTGTATAACCATTAACACCATTAACATAAAACACAAATCAGTATAAACATAAAGGACATATTAAAATAAGAACTGGCGTGGTACATCTGCGTTAATTCAGTTGGACTTCCAATTGGATTGCGGTAAGTTGTCATCAGGGTTCAGGGTTGAAACGTATCGTGTATGCCGGTAGTTGGAGCTAGTCATTGAGGGTTGCGTGGGTCGAGTAGTTTAGATCATATTGAAGAGTCCGGTTTCCTTCAGGAAGATAAACAGCGTAGCAGTCCGAACGGGATCATCGGAGAGGACATCCCGGATGCTGCCGGAAATGTCGTAGCTTCTCCTGGTTCCATCGTATTTCGGGCATATGCAGATGAAGTGCTCGACGGTCTGTGGGATGTGGCAGTGGTCGCATATCCTCCGGAAGGGTCCGTCCCCCTTATAGTTGTGGGAGACGTTTGTGTGGCCGGACCGGAGTCGCGATAAAACAACCTGCTCACGGTGGAGGGGTGGATCCTCCCATCTGCTTGTGTCCCCTTTTATCTTCCGTATAAACAGTATACTTCCGGCGAGCCAGTCCCGGCTCCAGGATTGGTCTACGGTCTTGGTGACCCACTTCTTCAGATCCTGCCCGGGGACCTTCCGGGTATATTTGGTCATACGACGGCCTGTTCCGGCGAGATGATCAGCTTCCTCATTCCCTTTTACACCGCAATGTCCAGGCAACCAAATGAATACCGTGTTGGGTGGCGCGTACTCTTGGATGGCCTGTATCCAGGGGTGCCTGCTGGTTGCGGATTCAAGTGCAGTGACTACACTAGCAGAGTCTGTGAAAAGTGCGATTGGCCGTGTATCCGGGGTAGTAACTGCGATAAAAGCTGCGGCTGCCTCGGCGGAAAAAATAGAGCACTCATCCGGGAGCCTATGACACTCCTTTAGGTGGTCACCGGAGATGCCGATGCCCACCCTTTTCTGGGCTACGGAACCATCCGAGTAACGGATGGCGTATCCAGCGTACGTCCTTCTCTGCAAATCCAATACCGCCTGATTTACTGCAGAGGGATTGGAACCAGCCTTGAAGTGCCGTTTGATGGTGTGGTCGGTCTTAATTGGCGGTTTGTTCCAGCCTCTGGCTCCAACTCAATGTGTCTTGCACACTGGGGGGAGAGCTCGGTTGGAGATTTCCCTGAGGGACTTGTTGGCCTCCTTTAG